ACCGTAAATCCTTTTTTTCTAATTTATTGAAATATATTTTATTTTGAAAATTGACCAGATTCTCTTGCATCTCCTGTTCCGGACTTCCTGTTTGGTCCGATCTGCTCTGTCCAGCTTTACAATTGGCGCGCGCGGCTCGCACAAAAAATAGAGAGAAGCGGAGCGGCCGCGCTCCAGAGCGCGCTGTGCGAACAGTCACATTTAACAGTTACCAGGGGCGCCGATCCGAAACTCCGCACGCGGCGCTTCCTGTGTGAACCAGGCGTTACTTCCCTACTCTGAACAATGCTTTTATGAGAGACAACAAATCACAGGTGAAAATGTCATGCTTCATTTATTTCTTTTTGTCTCAAGAACGGCAGCAAACACCATTACTCTGTATTTTGAACACTGTTTTTCTCTCTTTGTTCATTATTCATGTCTTTTTAGCTCTTTGCTCCGATATATCAACTTCAAACAGTTGTATGCATTGAATTAATTCTCATTGTTTTGGTCCCATAAATCATTCCAGGTTATCCTCTTAAGATGTTCGCAAATATATTTTCACAGGGGCGAGTAATGAGGTGTGCAAATTGGCTTTGGCAGCAGTAGTATTTGTATAACACCACTGTATCAGCACAGTGTTTACTAGAACAATATCTTAATGCGATGATGACGGCTGAGGTTGTTTTATGAGCAAATATTGTTTGTTAAATGTTTACAGTGAAACACACAATTGAATCCTAAAAGAGGCTGTTGAGGAAAAAGTGAAATTTGACTGTTAGTTTTACAAAAATGCATCATGTTTAATTGAGCAATAAAGCTACTGCAAGGAACTTTTTGACACATGGTAAGTTGTCCACCCAGAAGCATAAAAAGACAAATTCATAAAAAAGGTAAATTCAGATGTGTAAATTCAAATCCAGAATTATATAAATCCCATTTATCAGTTCTTTCAATTAAATTCTTTTGGATCTTGCTTGTAACACCATGAAATTGATTGTTAAATGTGCTCAATAATGCTTGTGTTGGCTGCAACTTCTTATAAAATAATGACAGGAAAGAGTTAACTCTGTCCTGGTCTTGTCCTATATGTAAATGAATTGTATTTTTTGTTGTAAAACATCCCTTCCTGTCACCTTCACCACTTCAACAGCCACTAGTATCATTCTTTCCCATTAAAAAACACAACAGAAGCCTTTTTTTTTTTGTGGTTGTCATCAGTTGTCTCCACTAGTCTATTTTGTAGCAGTGATTACTCACATCAAAAACCAATGCATGAAAATAATAAGCCCTCCGTCTAATGGTCTTGTTGGCTTGCGTAGGTCATTAAACAGAATCAGGTTAAAATTAATTAAATTTTCCGTTGGGGATAAATAAAATTCTTATCTTCTTTAAAGGTCCCATGGCATGCCAATTTCACACAACTTAAAAGTAGTCCCCTGGTGTGTTAAAAGCATGTCTGTAACGTCCTTCGGTCAAAATTCGATTTGGATCAATTATTTTAGTTTTTTTTTTTATCAGCTAATAACAGCTTCACTCAAAATCCTCTGTTTTGGGCCATGTCTCTTTAATGAAATGAGCTGCACCTAAGCCACGTCCACTTTACACCCATCTCTCTGGAAGGGGCTGTGGCTGTGCTCAGATAGCCATGTGCTAATGTTTACACTGGCTCGGTCATGGCTGCAAGAAGATCACTCGTACAACCCTACCAGTTTGAGCCACAGTCTAACCCAGAGGGAGAGGCTCCGGAAGAAACTCTTAGCCGCGTTCAGACCAAACGGGACTTGAAGTGACCTAGTCGACACATCCTATGTATTATTCAAAGCCGCCAGGAGGGTCACGCTTAAGGAGGAAGATATGACTGTAGAAAAAATTACAACCAGAGCTCTGCTACAATGTAAGATTTTGGTGCTCTAAAACTTCTCTGAAGCCTTTGCTAATTAATAGGATGGCCGACTGTCCAGCGTTAGCCGGGACGTCCCGTATTTGAGCCAAAAGAGGCGCGTCGCCACACGGGTAAATGCTAAAGCTACATGCTGCTCCAGAGGGGGATTTTGTCCCCCGCTGGCGAAATTGTCGGGGAAGAAGTGAGCGGCTGAAATATTGGAGGATCCGGTAAACCGACACGGATCCGGTGTGTTTATCAAAGCGTGGTGGCTGTGCTGAGGCACCGGGGGGAATTTAGGCTAAACAGTAAGTCAAAATAAAACGTTCACACTTACAGATGCCACGTTTGTAGTAGGATCACGGATAGTTGGTACGGATCCATTCTTTATCTTCAGACATCTAGCAAATCCAGCGTTGAACTGTCCCTCGTTGATAAAACAGTCTGAAGTGAAATGGTGCGCACATACAAAGTGCCGCAGGTACATTCCCATTTTAAATAAAATCCACCCATTGAGTCCTCAAATCCTCCGATGAGGGAGTTTTCAAAAGAGTTTTGTGCTCATTTGTGCAGCCAACAACAGAGCAAACGCTGCCTCTTTTTCAGATCGTACTTTCGCCATGGTTCTAACCGGAGCTATGCGAGCGAGCGGCCGGGAATAATGGCGCTGTGTTGATAATTTAGTGGGCAGGGCAGTGGGCGGCTCCATGGGCAGTACCATCAACCCGCCAGCACTGACATGACGTCATGTTTGTGGAGTTTTCACTCAGTGGAGTGTGCTCTGAGCACACAGTTCCTAAATACGGAGATAACTACAAAACGACTGGATGGAATTTTTTCGAACTTGGGGGGAGTGTAGCGGTTTTCTATCCCTGATATGCACCCCCTCCCGTTAACAAAGTCAGTTTTTCATGCCATGGCCCCTTTAAAAAAAAATCTGTCTATTATTTAAACAGCAAAAAGAAAAAATCTCTACAGGAGCTTTATTTTCTTGTTCAAATAAAGCACACCCTGTATGAGAAGAAAGGCTTAGGCTAAAATATAGTCTCTGCTTACTACCATTTAGAAAATCAAGTTTTTATTGTCCTCGAAAAGAGGAGGAAATTATTTTGTTAGTTATTCAGTCTTGTGATGCCAGATGGGAGTCATCAGAAACACTGGATATGCTAACCTTCCTCCTACTCCTCCTAGACTGGTCCACGCCTTTATCTCCTCCAGGCTGGATTACTGTAATGCACTCCTCATCAGGACCCCTAGCACGAGCCTCCAAAAGCTCCGACATATACAAAACAGCGCAGCTAGGGTCCTGATGAGGGTGCGCAAATATGAGCACATTACTCCCATCCTCCGTTCGCTGCACTGGCTCCCCATCTCCTTCCGAACTGAATACAAGGTCTCCCTGCTAACCCACCAATGCATCTACGGCATCACCCCTCTCTACCTAAGGAACTGCTCGAGCCCCAGCCCACCACCAGAAACCTCCGCTCCTCAAAGAAAGACCGCCTCAAAGTCCGCCCCACCAAACTGCGGACCATGGGAGACAGAGCGTTTTACGCAGCCGTCCCACTACTGTGGAACTCACTCCCAGACCACCTAAGGGCCCCTCAGTCTGTGGACGCTTTCAAAAGAGCCCTAAAGACCTTCCTTTTTAATAAAGCCTTTGGTTAGCTTCCTTTATGCTTTTTACTACCTTGCCTTTTGCACTGCAATTCTATATTCTCTTTATTTTTTTATTCTTTTATGCTTGCTATGTTAATTCTGTGACTGACATTCTGTTGCTTTTTTATTGTTGCTGCTCTTTTTACTGTGTACTGTAGCACTTTGAGATTTCTTGTAAACGTAAAGTGCATTACAAATTAAATTTATTATTATTATTATTATTTTTATTTTTTCTCCGACACATCCATACTCAGCAGGTAAAAAGTCTGAGCACAGTTTTCCTACACTGAAGGTGAAACAAGTGTATACTTCTTTTTGACAACACTCCATACAATAGCTGAGCTGGTGTTCACAGATAGATGCACGCAATGCTCTAGTAAGATTAACCAGGATGCCATGCTATCCTGTGTTTGGCTTCATAGGCATTAGAGTGGGCGAAGACGTGCTTTCTTTCCAACTTTCTTATCACACCACATCAGAGCCTTTTTTTTGGTGTTTTGTTTCAGCAGTTGGTTGTAAATAAATGATTTAAGTACTGTGGATCCCCTTGGATGTGTTTGAGCCATGGAGCGAAAACATCCCAAGCACAGTTCAGTAACGACCAGGATTTCCATCAGTTGAGTTTCTTCTTCTGAATGTGTATTAAATGGAGAAAGCAAATCAGAAAAACATTTTGAATTATGAATTTATGCCTTTAGATTTTTACTGTTGTTAAAAAGAGTGGTAGCAAATCAAAACAAAATGTGTGTTTGAGTTAATATTCTACCATATTTCATTGTTTTTGTGTCGATAGTGCTGCAGAATTTTCTGGAAACATTTATCATCTTGCTGCATCAAGTTCATGTTTGTTTGTGCAAAGTACAAAATTCTGAAAAAACAAGCACATGCAAAATATCTATAGAAAAATTAAGAGGTGCACAGTCACAAAAATTAACGCCGTCTGCCTCCTTGCTGAGTGAAACCACCACGAGTGAGAAACACTGACAGAGACTTTCTGTCAGTGTTTCTCACTTCGATCAAACATTGGTCAAGAATTGACTATACGGGAGATTCTTTTTTAAGAGCAGGCAGGTGGAAACTGGTGTAATCTGAGAAACTGTTGCTGTCAGTCTTTTTTCTGCACACACTTGTGTTTAAGTGTTCATTTTACATAACTTTTATAAAACAGGATGTTGACTATGGATCCTTGCAATTGTTTCATAGAGAACATCACACAGAACTTCAGACATTGCCTTAGGTGGGATGCAAACAACTCTTGTTATGATATGACTGAATTCTCTTGGAACATTATATGGGTGACGAGCAACTGCCAACGGTTCAATATCTGGACAACACAACTTCTCCATGACAGTTATGTGTGAAGGGTTACACCATCTCTGGTTGACAAATAAAGCCAGACCTCCTCCTTTCTTCTTGCCACTAGCTTTAGCATCTCTGTCTGATCTTATGAGAGAGAAATCAGGAAGATCCACACTGGAGTCTGAGTTGTTTTTATTCAACCAGGTTTAAGTAAAATACAGGTTCTGCACAAATGGTATGATTTATCAGTCTTCACCAATAACTCCAGCTCATCACTTTTGTTGGGTAGAGAGGTGATGTTTCCCATGGTGACTGACAGAAGAAAGGGTTTATACCTCTATTTCTTAGCCTTTAACTTTGCCTTCACCTTTACATCAGCACGGCAACCACGATAACGCCTCCTGATGTCTTCTGGGATTAAATGTTGTCGTCCAGATTGGCTCCGTCTCAATGAAAGAAGCTCCCCTTTTGAGTAAACTCTTGTCCCAGCAGAAATATCCATCAGTAGTTGCTGTTACTCGGTTGAGCGCAGGTTCTAGAAAAAAGCATTTTAGAAAAGTGTAAAAATGAATGGAAGTGAAGCAATATACATTTTTCAAAGACAGTGTACACCAAGTATATTGCTGTGGTTCGAGTTTTGTAAAATTCAGTTCAAGTGTGTGGTAGGGATGACCCAGTCTGTAGTAGTTGCTAACCTAGCTTCAGTTCCTGTTCACCAGCAGGTTTTCGACAAAGTGGCTAGGTTTATCGTGATCCCCTGTGGCTAGTATACTTCCTATTGACTTGTATATTGTAAATATCTAAAAAATAGTTGTTTTTCATGCTTTTATTTTGATATTTCTCCTGTCTCGGTAAAACTATCCTTGTTTTTTGGAATATGAGTTACTTCCTAAAGATCACAAGTTGCGGATCTGGATGAAAAATATAACCTAAACCACAAGCTGTGTCAATATTTTTGGATTCACAGTTAATCTTTTCAGCATTTTAATTAAGTCTGTCTTGTTGTTATTCAGCTACAAGCTAGCTTGCTGGCAACAGATTGCATTTGGCTGTTTGACCTATCCTTTGAAGTGAATTATAACAAAGGTGACGTGTTTAATGCTGCAAAAAAATAAATGGGTGCGAATGTGTGGGTGTGTTTTTTCAAAAACACTGGAGACCATATGGACTGTGTCAGACAGTTGGAATAGTAATTGTCTTTTTATACTGATATGAAAAAAAAAGTCCCAAAATGACCGACAGTATGTAAAATGATGACTTTAAAAGTAGGCATGGATAACAAATCCAACTTTTCCCAGAGCAAGTTTCTTACAACCAGCCCCTTCTTTTATCTTGTCAAAGACTTTGTGACAGTTACCAGCGGGCTTGAAGTATCTAGCTGAAACTTAAACTATCTACTTCCACTTCCAAATAACTTTTAAAGCTCCAGGGAGGAACTTTTAATTCGAGTCAATTTTAGCGACCCTGGTGGACAAAGCAGTCTTTGCTTAGCTTATCCTCTTCATGCCTGAGGCCACTTTTAGACGGAAACGGTCTCTATAGAAAACGGAAAAGTGCCGTTTCGTTTTCAGTTTTTATGCTGTGTTTACACAAAAACGCAATGTGGTTGAAAACGCTGTAATGTGCATGCCAGGTCGCTAAGTGGCTCGTGTCAATGTGACCGCGCTCCCATATAGACCAACAACGCATATGTAGAACAACTTCCTTTCTTCATTAATTATTTGATGCAAATAATTCAGACGCCTCCTCTGCTAAGCAGTATGATCTGTGAGGATTCTGTACAGGTCGAAATTGAGCTCCTGCCCGTTCAATAATAACGACAGCCCGACTCGAATGTCTAGCATTTTTGTACTTTCGACGAAAGCGGGAGTAGCAGAGCGTTTACAACATTTCCACTCTGGAGGGGGTTTTCACTTTGTTACGTTTTCATCTCCTGAAAACGCAGCTGCAGTCTAAACAGACCCCTCTAAACGAAACTAAATTTTTCTGTTTTCTATGGAGACCGTTTCCGTCTAAAAGTGGCCTTAGTATTGACTTTTGACAGTCTAATGTGTCATTCATTGTAATGTTTTGGGTGTAAACTGTAAAACCTGCTTCTTGACCCAATATGCTGGTTTCAGGCACTAAAGATTATGATACAAAAAAACCTGATCTTGCTGCCTTTACTTCTGACTATCATGTTATAGCACTGGTCTGAATTTCTGTGTCATGGGTGTCTATTTCATTAATGTAAAAAACATACTTAACCGCAAGGTGAATTTAGTTCAAAACCACCTTCAACATGAAGGGCTCTAATTTTGCCTGGATTTTTATACCACTAATGTTGTCATGTAAAATAACTAACTGATTATTATAATGTTGGCATGTAGACCTAACTCAAGATTGAATACTCACAGAATCTAAGAATGTGGAAACATTAGATAAATGGGCTATTTTGAATGAAGGTGTCTTTTGTTGTTTTGTTCGCATTTTTGAAATTGCCAATGCCTCAGCTGATTATGTCGACACCTCCCCCTACTGCACTGCTATGCCCATCTTGATGCATCTCAGTGCGCCTCTGTGCGCCACTGTGCCCTGCACTGCGCCACCCTGTGCTGTGCTGCCGGCCGGCACAAAATTAGAGCCCCATTAAGTAATCATAAAGATAAGAAATTATTTCTCAGCTCAATGTTTTGCGTCTGATTCAGAAAATATCTGCATTATAAATCACTGCATTAGACCAAATATTTGCTATGAACTTGATGACTCTCTACCTTTGTTTTTCTGTAATAAGTTTTGTGAGAACCAACCCTGGTCTCCCTTCAATAAGATGGTGCTGGTGGGCACAGCTTCCTAATGAACCCCTTATTTAAAACTATCCTCCACTCTGTGCCCTAGCCTTCCTCTTGAGATGGTTGGTCAAAAAACTAAAGGTGAGAGGCCAGCAGACCTTCACCACAGAATATCTATCTCAAGCTGGGACCAGGACACACACACACTTTTCTCCTATGATCGATTGAAGACAACATTGGTAATGGCCCTAACAGCCGAGCAAGGTGGGCAATCAGTGGCCATCGATCCGATTATCCTGGGATGCAGTGTATGTCCAAGTTAAAGGGAACATTTCACTGATTTCTTGGACCTGTGTAGTCAGAGGGAAACTGAGCAGAGTATCACAGCAGGTCAGTGGGAGCTCTTTCACCCTCAATTATTTACCACCACACTCCTCCATGTTTTCTTCACCCGGTCTATTTAGGTCCACTTGCCTCTGTCAGCTCCTTTTTCTCTTGTTTTTCACACTGTGTTCTTTCAACTTTGGTAAAGCTATATTTCTGATGGTTTGATGTTCATTTAATTTTTCCATAGAGAGGATATTAAAAATGATGAGCTACATTTGTGCAATCTGCTTAGCTTGCTTTGTTTTTCTGCATCAGGATTTCAGGGAGACCCTCTCTGATGTTTCCTAGTAACAGAAGTGGAATTTCATCCCTGTAAGTTCTTAGATGTTTATGCTCAGAGTGAATACTAAAAGCCTGTTCTCTCCCTGAAGATTTAATCGGGCATCCCTGGTAATACCTCCTCACAAACATGTAAAACCATGCCTCTATATTTACTCTTTAAAAGCCCGTTTTAAAAATGCACTTCGCCATTTTGCAGTACCCAAAGAATATACATGTCAAATACCTTACTGTTACAAGGGAACCTGACAGCCAGGACAGTAATGATTACTGATATCCACTGGTTTGCAGCACAGATGAGTGTACATTATTCAGAGTGTGAAGTGGGAGAACAGACTTCTTTTCATTTTTCCCATGTGAAAGCTGCTGTAAAATCTTATCGGTTTTATTGTATCAGCTTCAGCGAGGCTAATTCAATAAACCTCCCTGCGCCATATACTTTTATTTTGAACTGCTACAGTCTATTAACATCAGATAGGCTTTGTTTAAGACAGGTTGTCTATTGCACTGGAGTATTTCAACATTACGTGGGAATAAAAGAGGTCTCCAGGCTCAGCTTCCTGCCCTCACTGGAGACACACCTCACAGCTCTGCAGCTGTCAATTCAAACTCGATGTGCCTCACAGGTGCCAGCTCCACTCTGCCTTCTCTAAGCCTTTGTGCATCGATCAGAGTGAACCCCCGCCTGAGACTTAAACTGCAATACTGCACATTTCTGCAAAGTCAAACTGACCAGTCTCTCAACTTACTGAAGGTTCAATATTGTCAAAGGGATGAACAAACACAGAAGTGGGAGTGAAAGAGACTGTACAGTAAGTACAGTAGCTGTGTGTGTGTGTGTGTGTGTGTGTGTGTGTGTGTGTGTGTGTGTGTGTGTGTGTGTGTGTGTGCGTGTGTGCGTGTGATGAGTGTGTGACTGATTGATGCAGGGATGGTCAAGGGTAATCACTACAGCAGAATGAACTCTTTTTGGTGTTTTGCAGAATTTTGCGGTATGCAGCACTGATTTGCATATGAAATTTAACACTCCAGTGACAACAAGTTGTTCAATGACATTTCTTGAGAGCATTAGAAACAAAAAAAATGCTTAATCTTAAATCACATCTGCATAATTTGTGACTGTTAATTCTGTCATACAGTGTCCATCAGGCTGGCTAAAGGCTCAGAAATACCAAAATCTACAGTTTCTGATCCGGATGAATTAGGTCTTTTATATAGGTGAGGAAAACACTGTGCATGGTTGCACTCAATGGGAATTTAAAGTATGAGATATTCATCAAAAAAAAATTATATATTTTTTACCAGCAATTTACAGTCCACGTAGTACATTTTAAAAGTAGTCCAAGAAATGTAAAAGTTATGTACAGCTTTGTCTTACCAGCCACAGAAGCTATTTCAAGTCTTTAAAGATACAGTATGTGAAGTTCTCACAGCGACGAGACTTTTCTTTTCCCAACAACCATAAGCAGAACAGCAGCTTTTTTAGCAAGAACCTCCAAATACTTTTTTAGCCGCAGTTAAAAAAATTGCTTTCTCATAAAATCCCTTTACTTCCTCCTCCTTTGCTATTAAGTATAGTGCTGTAGGCATTAAAAGGTCTGTGTGACTTTGACATGAAAGCATGTCCTTTGGAAAAACCTGCACAAGCACTTTTGTTGTTTTACTTGGTAGGATTTCCGTTTTGGTGCCTGTTTTTGCTTATGGTAATGTTTGAATCCAGGCAATCCCTGGACCCCAAAGCCCTCAGTCCTCAGCTAAACTGGAAGTACTTACAGACCTGCCATGCTAAGTGGTGTGAAGCTCTGTTTGCTACCCAGAGGACAGTGGTTTAAGACGAGAGGAGGGAGATCAGAGGATTCTTGTATTTGGGTCAATAGAGGATGTGTTTTTAAATGCATCAAGGACGCATAAATGAGCCTGTATTTTGACTTTCGATATCAAAATATTAGCATGTTAGCACACTAAACTACACTAGTTAACTTTGTAAAATCAAACCTTCACTTGGTTGCACCAGCTATGACTGTAAGTCCTGTCTAAGGCTATGTTCACACCGCAGGTCAATTCCGATATTTACCATATGTGACACATATCAGATTTTTTCATGTAAGTGTGAACAGTGCAATTCATATTTTTAAATCTGACCCAGGCCTCTTTTGTATGTGGATATAAATCGGATATGTATCTGATGTGACTGCAGTGTGGACGCTTAGGTCGCATTCATCCGACCTACACGTCATCAATATGTGACAAATGTCACCATTGTTGGACAACACAAACAGGCGTGGAAAGAAATTTGTGCTTTGTGCGCATGCGGGTCACTTCAGGGATGCATTCTATTCACATTAGATGCCACATTCGTTGTAATGTGAACGACCGCACAAAAAGATCGGATTTAACAAAAAATCCGAATTGTGCACCATGCAGTGTGAACGTAGCCTTAGTTCAAACTTCACAGAGGTTGAATTTAATTTCCCATTTGGGATTTGGTTTGGGTTTGGGTTTAGCCACAACTAGCGGTGCAGCCACCAAATCAAAGCAGCAATCAATCGTATCATCTATGTTTACATCATCTAATGTTTACATTTTAAGGCATCTTCATTATTCCTGAGTGGGGCCAATTGTTTATTTTGGGTCTTGCATACCTGCAAAAACACTCAGGACTGTGAAGTAGTTCACTGTATTATTTAGTATTTATATTTCTTGTACTGTTGAGTTAAAATGTTTTTTGTATTTTCTGATGTTTATCTTATTCAATTTACTTAGTTATTTACTTTGCATGTTAATAAAATGTTGAAATAATCTCTAATTGCTTAAGTTTTCAGTACAGATGCTTTAAAATTGGCAGTTTAAAAAAAATTTGTGATAACAATTGAGATCGGACGGTATGGCAAAATATATCAATCATTTTTTTCTTTTTTTTGTCAGACCACCCAGTCTTAGTGCAAAGTCCACCAAAATTAATGATTGTCTCATTGCATCATTTTTTTTAAAGGTGGGAGGACTTGGAAGAGAACCAGAGAGTTTGACTTGCTGATTTGTGCAGGCAGTGTGTTTTCTGTGATAAGTACATCAAATTAAAATGTATGACCTATGATGGAATATTAGGGCCACATTAAAAACTAGAAAAGCACTCGGAGAGTGCAGACCTCCGCCAAGCAGCTCATGTCCCCCCTTATATTGAGATTTACACCAAAACTTTTACTGTTGCGTGTCTTTTATTAATGTTTATTTGTGTTTAAACTGGTATGTACACTGTTCATAATGTTCCTAAAACAAGAAATACCCTTGCCAGGATTCAAACACAGGACCTTCTGGTTGTGAGGCAACAGTGCTAACCACTACACCACTGTGCCACCTATCTGCACCAGTGTGCCGCCCATTGGTTATCTTTCAGCATTGAAAATTCCAACAACACCCTTATTTTTGTGTGTTCTGCATCACAGTATCCAAAATTTTGTCCGGATCACAACCAAAATTTGGCATCCTCCTGGGGCTGAGACGCACCTCTGGTGAAAATTTCAGGTCAATCCGTCTGTAACTTTCTCCGTAAAGTTGCTAACAGACAAACAAACAAACCAACGCTACTGAAAACATAACATCCTTAGCGGAGGTAACAAAAAAAAAAAAAAGAAGAGCCTGATCTACTCAAGGTTTGCTTGTGCAAAAACACCCAAACTTGATTACGCACGCAAAGCTGATCTGCAACTGGGTGCACCAAGGATAGTGTCTGTCAAATGAGCAAAACAGCGCGCGCAATCCATTTAGCATGTTTGCCTTCATGAATATGCAGATTGTATGTAGATCATCATTAGGACTACATACCTTAACTCAGCTGGTGTGACAGGTCCCTGGACATGATCATCTCGAGAAAGTTTTTAAACATACTCAAGGAAGATGACAGACCAAAATGTTACAAAGGGGGGGAGTTATCAAAGAGATTCATGTTGGCATGAATAGATATACATCTGGCCTGCCTTCACATAAGCCTGCACATAAGCTTGTGAAAAGTGGAGTAAGCATTATAAAAATGCTCAATCATATTTTCTACTGTATTTTTGACATATGAGGTTATATCACAGATTTATTTGGAATAATATTGTTGGCAACACTCTTTTAGTCTTACCACAAGAATAGTTGCATTGCACAGATTAAATCTTAATTTTTGATGAGTCATTGTTTCTGAGGATACCAAAAAACAGCATACTGGCAGAAGAAGACAAACATGTGAGATAGAAAGAAGTAAAACTTAACCACGAACACAGTCATTTTTTCCCTCTTTGCTCCCGAGCAGCTTTTCAGCTCTGTGCTGAAGTGACTCACCGCGGGTCTGTGTGAGCAGGCATCAGTGTGGGCTATTTAAGGCGGCATGGTCACAGTGCATGGCCTGCTGTGTGTGTCTTGTCTCTGGTGGGAGAAGTAGCTCTGGCTGAGTGGTCACGACCCTCCCACATAGTAGCTGTGGAGGGAAACAGGCTGAAGAGCGCTGAACACAATGTAAGTCCTTCAGTATCAGTGGATATTGCGTCTGCCATGGAAACACCTGCTGGGGATAGCTTTCATCTCATGACCTGAAATATGATCTGTCTCATTGTCTTTTTTTCCAATTTTCACAGCAGCACATGTGTAATGCACCAAATGCTACCTTGATAACCCCTGAAAAAATTAAGTGAAGCCACAGAGGCAGAAATGAACTTTTTTTCAAAGAGGTTTTTAAGTCTTGAGTGAATCTTCCGGATGGATTTAACTGCTGTAAGAAGTAAACAGGAAGCCGCAGAGACACCCTGTTGTCTCTGTTGGACAGAGTGCTCTCAGCTCTGACCCAACGTGACTTTCTGTGTCCCTGCTAACTTCTGAACTCTCTCAACTCATTGATTTGTCTTCTGTTCCCGCTGCCTTGTTTATCTGACCGAGGCACAGCTCAAATCTATCATGGAAGACTTCACTCTGCGCCTGCTTTTCTTTCTTTTGAAAAGATCCACTTAGGGCCATTTGCAACCTAAAGAGAAACCACAAGAGAGCAACAATCTATCAAGCAGTGTTTTATCATTAACACTGATTATTGCAAGTGATTGATCACATATTTGCCACCAAGTTAGGCCTGGGCGAAAAAAAATGATCACAATATATTTTGTCATATCGTCCGATCTCGATTATTATCACAATCTTTTTTTAAACTGCCAGTTTTAAAGTATCTGTACTAAAATCCCAAAAAACCTAGAGATTAGTTCAACATTTTATTAACACACAAAGTAAATAACAAAGCAAATTGAATAAGATACACTTAGAAAAATCTAAAAAACATTTTATTTCAACAGTACAAGAAATGTAGATGAATACTAAGTAATACAGAGAATTAGTTTACAGTCCTGAGTGTTTTTGCAGGTACGCAAGACCCAAAATAAACAAATCGCCCTCTCAGAGATAATGAAGGTGCTTTAAAATTTAAACATTAGGTGATGTAAACCTAGATGATATGCATACCTACCAACATTAAGGTTATAAAATCCAGGCACGCTGGGCAGTTTTGGGGTGACCTCATATGGTGGATGTGAGCTAATTATGAGAGTATTTGTAATTAAATTGCTCATCCAAATAAGTATAGGTGAAGCTGCACATTTTTTTTGTTTAAACAATAACAAATGGTAAAAAAAAATATAAAAGGTACGATATGCCTTGAACTTATTTAGTCCACTAATATTAGTGTTAAAGTCCTCATATGTTTAACATGCTCTCCCGTATGAGGCTCTCTGAACATCTGTGTGTGAAATACAGCACTCTTTTATCTGAGGCTGCCCTGAATGCATCACTCTCTCATATCTCGCATTTGTTTTCCTTTCTTTGAAGTGTTCATTTTGCAACAAACACTGTTTAAATAAAGTTAACAGCTTAAACTGATCTGAATCATCCAAAACTGTAAAGTCAAAGTATCAATTCAAAGTCTTTGAGGCTCAGCAGAAACACAGGACAAACTTCAGTTGTCTGGAAACCTGGAAACTTTTGACAAATATAGTGATCTGATTCATGAATGAATGCTGACCATACTACGAGAAATTCCCGGGAGAAATGACCATACGGGGGGTGGGCGGGAGATACGTCTGAAATAAGGTAGAGTCTCGGGATAAACGGGAGTGTTGGCAGGTATGGATATGATTGATCGCTGTTTTGGTCTAGTGGCTGCACCGCTAGTTGTAGCTAAACTGCTGATGCTACCCGTGCCATCAGCAGTGACAGGCTGTGCAGACTCTGCTCGCATTTTCATGCTTCCCGCATAATCACTCGGGAAGAACAGATTTGTTATGTTGCCGGTTTACCGGCTTAATTGCTCGACGTCACTTTGGAGAGACGTTGAATAACTTCTCAACAATAACATCTTCTGAGGATGACTCAAAGTCACGGCTGACATCTATCTTCCTGCCCTCAGCTCCGCGTTTAGCTCCATGTTCGGTCATTCTGTTTACTTCTCCGGTAACTTACAGGGGTCCGTTTCACGTAGGTGGTTCAACAAACTCTGAGTTAAATCCTTAACTCTGAGTTGATCTACTCTGAGTTAGGAAACTCTGAGTTTCCGGTTTCACAATACCTGATTTGAGACGGTTTTAACAACTCCGAGTAGTTTGACCTGGAGTTAAGCACGTGCACGCCAGACATAAACAGCCAGCATCTGTGGAGCGCAGATTCAATGATCAACCAATGGAAACAGGGAGAAGGAGGGGGCAGCAGCAAGCCAACAGCGAATTACAGCACGTTGTTAAAAGAAAGTGCAATACAGCAGCAGCTGCAAAGGAGAGGGAGAGGGCATGGGAGGAAATCGCTGCTCGCGTCAATGCGTAACTTTAAATCTAGTCTCGTGCAATCACAATGACAGACTGTTGCAGGGAAACTGCTTGAATCATTTTGATCATGTTTTACATTGTCAAGTAAGTATTAAGTGGCAGTTTGATCCCTTAGAAAATACTCTTTTCACACTCAAAAATGAATTTTACTCTCTTATGATGTTCCGTTAAATGATTAGGAATATTAAACTAACTCTCAGTATGTATATGGACATATATTAAACTAACACTCACTACACTCAATATTAGACTTTCACTCAGCAAACAGAAAGAGGGCAGATGCCAGAAAAACGGGTGGTGGCCCAGCAGCCACACCTTTAACGGAGGCAGAGGAGCTGCCCCCCCCCCCCCGACGATCGAAACCCCCACCTCGTAGCAGCGATCGTCGGACTGGTGTGCGACGACACAGACCAGTGTGTGTGTGTGTGTGTGTGTGTGTGTGTGTGTGGGGGGGGGGGGGGATTTGCGATCGGACCGGCCGCGATCGTCGAACGGCGGGGGGGGGGGGGGGGGCAGCTCCTCTGCCTCCGTTAAAGGTGGGGCTGCTGGACCACCACCCGTTTTTGTGTTAGTTTAATATTCCTAATCATTTAACGGAACATAATAAGAGAGTAAAATTCAGTTTTGAGTGTGAAAAGAGCATTTTTTAAGGGATCAAACTGCCACTTAATACTTACTTGACAATGTAAAACATGATCAAAATGAGAAAATGTCGATGTCTCACCTGAAACTCTGGGTTTACTGAGTTAAACCTGCTCCCGAGCAGGTTAAGTTCACGGAGTCTGTTACTGTGGTAACTGACCGCGAGGTTGAGTTACCTCTCTTTGTGAAACAGGTTAGAGTTACCCCTCTCTCCCTGGTTTAACTAACCCTCCTTTGTGAAACGGAAAACTCAGAGTTTCCCTGATTTCAGGGTTAACAAACTCGGAGTTTCCACTAAACCTGCTACGTGAAACGGACCCCAGAAGTGAGCAGGAAAAGCCCGACTCTGATTGGCTGTTGTGACGCACATTTCCGCCTTGTTTGATCGAGTAAATATGCTCACAGCTGATCACCGTGATCGAACTGAAATTTATCCCAATCATCAGTCATGATCATATGATCGCCCAGTCCTACACCAAGTGCCTCTCTAGTCTGATGGAGCTATCAAGAGGAGCCAAGCCTGTTTACCTGTTCACCAGTACTATTAATACAGACCCTTCCCTTCCCTCTGTCATTGGAGGTCAGAACATGTTTCTGGAGAACTGGACTTTGGAGAGCATACTGTATCCCATGCTGTCACACTGAACATGTTCATAACACAGGCTTAGTGTCCTTAAAACACATGAACCGTACCTTATTAGACAGGGGCTCAGGAAAAGCCCCAAGTAGCTTAAATGAATAAAATAGGCTTCATTTTAATGGAAGGTCAGATCTGAGTGAATTTAACAGGTAGAGACATATCAGCCAAACAATACAACAGAAGCCATTCTATGTCTCCAGTAAAATAGACGTTTATTGAATGTTACAGATTGCAGAAAAATTATAAAATAGATGATCAGTGCTGTTCCAAGGTTAAGACAAAAGACAACCAGTCAAAATTTGGTGAGTTAGCATCCCAAATTAGGTACATGCTGTGAAAAATGCCTTTAACAGTAAAGTTAAAAGGTTAGAAAAAGGAAACTAATCTGTAATGCTGGGATTAAAAGTCAGATAGTGCTGTGTAAAACACTGCAAAGTTTGTTTCGGCTTATTATTCACCTGTAGTAGTGTGGGTAAAAAGAGAGTTGAAAAATTGTAACTTGTGGGGAAAATGTAAAAGCATTTCACAGAGGATGTTCCAAACTAGCTGCATTACTGCATACCATTAAGCAGTTTCAGGGCCAAAAGAACAAATGAGGGGAGTATTAAATCGGAACTTGTTGATGAAAACACGGTTTGTGTCGACAACTATATCGTCTGCCTGAAATGCAGCTATAAACTTCAGGGGTGTGAATACCACTGCTCAAATGTTTCAGCTTTCAAAAGTTTGCAAGAACTTTCATGTTTTCTGTCAAAACACATCTGGTGATTTATCATCCTGGATTTCACAGCCGAATTATAAGCTAGCTTTGTACAAGGACAAACTTCCTTTATTAAAACAAAGAGCGACCTTTGAGTAAAATTCAACTAGTGGTTTGAATTTTGTTTAAAGTTTTCTTTTAAGAGTGTATTGTCCTCAGAAGTTGGAGAGTTCCTTTTAAAAACCTTTTAGTTTTAACCGTGTGTCTCATCATAAAGTTTGCTTTCTTTTGATTTATTTTTCCAAGGCCTGCTGAAGTTGTCCCGTACTTCACAGAAAAATACACAGCCAAAGCTTGAGGCTTGTCTGAAGAAAACATTTTTGTGTTAAGTCCATATTCCACAGTATCTGTGTTGAGTGTGTTCCAACAGTGTACCGTGTCACGCAGCAAATCTGTTCCTATTCTAATTCTAATCAATGCTACATATTACAAAGGAGATAGTGTTGTGTCATTCGCAAATGATTCGTTCAAAAGAACGAATCTTTTCAGTGAACGCACTGAACCAAATCACTTCCTCAACAGATTTATTAGTTTCTCAGTTCAGTTGAGCTGTCAGCGGTGCAGCTGCCATAGCGCGCAGCATTGCCAGGCGAGTGCCGGCGAGCCTCGGCAGGGATGAAGGGACCCTTGAATCACTTGGTGAACGAATCACTCAGTGAACTACACTCTCCGAGATTATTTTCATCTGAGGGACACACTTTAGCAATTGTTGTTCCCCCTTGTTTAACAGATTTAGTTCCCAATTAACTAAACTTAAAATGTTGGGCTGGCAGTAATGAGAAGAGAGTGAGACTCACCAGCTGTAGCAAGCTCTTGACAGGAGTGACTGAGGGAGATAGGGGTGTGTTGTGTTCAAGTGTACCTCAGAGAAAACTAACTTTTTTCAGTGATTTGTTGAACAAGTCTTTTGAACAAATCTTTTTAGTGAACTGATTCTTGTGATTCAGT